ACACTCTTGTGGGACACTCTTGTAGGACACTCTTGTGGGACACTCTTATAGGACACTCTTGTGGATGGCTAGACAGATGAGACTTCAACGAACAGGAAATGTGGACATCGTCTACGACATGCAGCCAAGGCATCATGACCTGGACTATGGGGCCTTTACGGATCAAGTCGTGCCGAAAGCTGTTTGGCAATTGGGCTGAACACCTCTACCGTGACCTGGAACGAGCTTGGCAAGTCGGGAGCGCCTGTAGCCCAGGGACAGGTGGCAGCTGCTGCATATGCTATTCTGCATGAGCATGGCTGGGGACACTCTTGTGGGACACTCTTGTAGGACACTCTTGTGGGACACTCTTGTAGGACACTCTTGTGGGACACTCTTCTGGGACACTCTTGGTCACTCTTGTAGGAAACTCTTGTGGGACACTCTTGTAGGACACTCTTGCAGAGGTGAATGTCGCTGTCACATTGGGATTGGCGTGGGAGATTCGTGGCAGGCGCAGGGACTCGTGAGGGTGTGAGTTGGGGTAGAGGGATTGGCCTGTGAGCGAATGTTGGGACACTCTTGTGGGACACTCTTGTAGGACACTCAGGACACTCTTGTGGGTCTCTCTTGTAGGAAACTCTTGTGGGACACTCTTGTGGGACACTCTTGTGGGACACTCTTATAGGACACTCTTGTGGGACACTCTTGTGGGACACTCTTACACGACACTCTTACACGACACTCTTGTAGGACACTCTTGTGGGACACTCTTGTGGGACACTCTTGAAGGACACTCTTGTAACACACTCTTGTGGGTCACTCTTGTAGGAAACTCTTGTGGGACACTCTTGTAGGACACTCTTGTGGGACACTCTTATAGGACACTCTGGTGGGACACTTTTGTGGGGCACTCTTGTAGGTCAACCTTATGGGACACTCTTGTAGGACACTCTTGTGAGACACTCTTGTGGGACACTCTTGTGTGTCACTTGCAGGACACTCTTGTGGGACACTCTTGTAGGAAACTCTTGTGGGACACTCTTGTAGGACACTCTTGTGGGACACTCTTGTGGGACACTCTTGTAGGACACTCTTGTGGGATACTCTTGTCGGACACTCTTAAGGGACACTCTTGTGAGACACTCTTGAGCGACACTGTTGCGGGACACTCTTGTGGGACAATTTTGTGGGACACTGTTGTGGGACACTCTTGTAGGACACTCTTGTGGGACAGTCTTGTAGGACACTCTTGTGGGACACTCTTGTGGGACACTCTTGTGGGACACTCTTGTGGGACACTCTTGTAGGACACTCTTGTGGGACACTTTTGTGGGACACTCTTGTGGGACACTCTGTGGGACACTCTTGTGGGACACTCTTGTGGGACACTCTTGTGGGACACTCTTGTAGGACACTCTTGTGGGACAGTCTTGTAGGACACTCTTGTGGGACACTCTTGTGGGACATTCTTGTAGGACACTCTTGTGGGAGACTCCTGTAGGACACTCTTGTGGGACACTCTGTGGGGCACTCTTG